CCCCCCCCTCCTTCATATACTTGCTATTCACACTTAGTCATTTAACATAGACCATTGTAGTTGTATCCTTGTCATCCTTAAAGATTTGTACCAATTCTCATTGTGTCATTATGAAACTCTTCGACTTTTATATTTCTTTGTTTCTCTTATCACCTAGCCTAATTACATAATCCACATAGTATTAAGTTCGGTCGGGACCCACAGTTATAGACCTCAAAGAGTGCCTAACACCTTCTCTTTGAGGTAATTTGTGCCCTTACCCGATCTTTGGTGGCATTGACTAATCAAGTAGAGTTATCTGCAAATAGGTGCCCTAACGCACCTTAAAAACCGTTACGTGGCGACTCTTCTCTTTTAACATCCTTCCTTCAAAAGAGTTGTCACATATTGAAGCCCTCCTTTCGCGAGAAAACGGGGCGTAGCATTGATTATAGGCAGTTAAACAAGGTCACAATCAAGAACAAGTATCCTTTGCCGCGTATTGATGATCTATTTGACCAGCTTCAGGGAACGAGGGTGTTGTCCAAGATTTATTTGAGGTCTAGGTATCACCAGTTGAAGATTATTCTAAAGACAGCTTTCAGGACCCACTATGGTCATTATGAGTTCCTCGTGATGTCTTTTGGGCTGACCAACGCCCCAATAGCGTTCATGCATCTGATGAATAGTGTGTTTCGGCCTTATCTCGACTCATTTGTTATTGTGTTCATTGATGATAACCTTGTGTACTCTCGTAGCCAGGAGGACCACGTCCAGCATTTGAGGGTTGTGTTGCAGCGGTTGAGGGAGGACAAGCTTTATGCCAAGTTCTCCAAGTGTAAGTTTTGGCTTAGTTTAGTGGGTTCTTGGGGCACGTGGTGTCCAGTGAGGGTATTCAGGTGGATCCAAAGAAGATAGAGGCAGTTTAGGCAGTTTCCAAATCACACTTACGAATTTGAGAGAGAGAGACTGCGAATTAGAATGCAGTATTTTCAGAAAGAAGGAAGTTCTGTAATGTTTTTGGTGTGTTAAAAACGAAGCCATGCCTCAGAATTTATAGGCAATTATTGGAAGAGGTGAGATGTTTGTTCTGGAAAAGGTGCCTTTCAGAAGTTTACGCGGCCTGCCGCGGTCCTACCGCGATTACGCCAGGACCGCGGCCAGAGTGGCCCTCTGAATCTGCAGCAGGGTTCTGGCGCGGTTACGCCAGGACCGCGGCCAGACTATCCTTCTAAATCTTCAGCAGTGATCTGACATTTAATTAATTATTAAATAATTAATTAAATAAATTTTGTCCAAAAAATAATCTTATCGATCATTTGACAAATCCAAATCCAAATCCACAAATCCAAAGCCGAGCGAGCGACGACGACGGCGCGAGGGTTCATTCTCTTCAACTCCTTTTAAGAGCTTTAAGAAGTGATTCTATATATAAGCACACAAATGTAGTTGTCCCTCACCAATGAGGGACAAAGTGCAAGTCAAAAGCTCACTTTATTCAAATTTTCATTTCCCTCAATGCCTTTAAAGTCTAACAACTGGATCATTATTGTTGTTGCTATAGGAATAGTTGAGTGACTTTCATGTTACAAACGAAAGAAATGTGGTTTTAGTCCATAATTATAGATAGTTGAGTGATCACATGAGTAACGGGCTCCTGAAATTCTTGCCAAAGTTAGTTTGTATAATTAGCAAAAATAATAGTAAAAGCAGATGCTCATTTTGCCCTGTCATTGATTTGAGCATAATTTAAGGTGGATTTCATATCTGCCACCGCCAAAAAAGATTTGAACTTTTATTTTTCCCTCTCTATTTGATAGTATTGTGAAAATAAAATATACGGTAAAGGCTGCCGCTCACGCTAGGTGCTTATCCTCCTACTATTAAGATTTAAGAACAAGTTCATGGCGAAGCTATAATATTATGTACGGGTTTGGACGAACTCATTAGTTTTGTTTGAATGCAATAATTTGTATTAAGAAATTCAGAAAATATACATAAATATTTAATTATGAATCCAATGACTAAAACGAGTTATGAATTCAGTGACAAATGCAAAACGGACAAACTTTAAATTTTGATTCCGCCTCTAGTTCATGGCTTCACACCACTGGAATTATATATGTGCCTCTTATTTTGGGAGTATAATTACATGAGCATGGCACCCTGGCCATTGACAGATTGGAGCAAACAGGATTCTCAAATAATGTGTATGTCTTACGAGTTTTGGAAATTTTTTAATCAAAATAACAGTTTGGACTTTGACCAATCTGTAATAGTACAGTTGTACTTTGAGCTCGCGCCAAGTTTATTAAATTCGAATACCCCTCTCAAAACAAGCAAAAACAAGCAACCGGAGCCAAAATGAATTTGGAATTGTGTGCCTGTATTTTGCTTGAGAAAGGATTTACTTATATCCCTAATAATTAGATCTTTATACGCTATCAATACAATTTAAAATACTATAAAAGGATGCCTTATTTTTTAAGCCAATTAATTTCAGTAACATGCTGTTTAAAATATATTCACAATTGACAACGAAAATGAGCCAATTCGCCCAAGCTTCAGGACTAAGTATGCTGAATTTTTAAGCTACTAATTTGGAATTCAGGACTTAATTTCCTAAATTTTTGAGCTGCTAATTTGAAATTTAAAACTACGTGTCCTGAATTTCTGAACTGGTAATTTAAATTTCAAGACAAAAGGTTCGAACTTCTAGTCATAAATTTTGAACGTTAGGACACGATGTCCTGAAGTTTGAACTTTAAGGTTTAAAATTCAGGACGTCGCGTCCTGAAGTTTGAGCAAATTGGCTAATTTTTAAGTACATTATAAATTGTAAATATATTTTAAACAGCATACTTAAAAGTGGCTTCAGTGTCATTTCACGGTTATGGATTTAAAAGTGTAAGTCTATCTTTTATACAATCAATGTATAGAAATTAAATTTGGGAGGAGATTGCCATTCTTGTACGTCAGGAACAGAATACTTCATTAAGAAAATGAAAAGAAACAAATCTGAATAAGAATTCAGAGAAAAGGATAGGAGTAATATAAAGCATTAAATAATGATTGAGTAAACAAGTAGCAAATAAAATACATATACAAATGCCTTGGTGAATGGTGGTATCACGTGACACCATGAGAGGTAATCAGAATTTCTTTTTGGTTGGAGGAGTTGTAGTGCCATAGTGGGAGAAAAGAAAGTGGGAAAAAGCTAGAAAAAGAAAGGGAAAAGGTAAAAGAAAGATGAGAGCTGCATCCAATTAGAGGTGACTTTAACGATCAATTAAGATAAGAGAAATTATGAGTTTAAATTTCAGTCGAAATAAAACAAAACTTGATAGTCTTTTATTTACCAAAGTTGATAAATCGAGTTACCTGAGCGGATGGTATATTGAAAATAATCTCTCTATCTTCATGAGGTATGGATAAAAACTACCTTCTTCAGATATCACTTATGAGATTACACTGAATTTGTTGTTATTGATAAATAAAGTTACCTAATATATGTGCTAGTAAAAAATAATATCACCAAAAGTTATAATGGGTGAATATGATCTTTCCACTCTTATAGCATGTTTGGCCGAGCGTCTAAAATCAGCTTATTTTGAGAACTGCTTTTCTCAAAAGTACTTTTGGTGAGAATCAATTTGTGTTTGACTAAATAATTAATTTGAAAAACATTTCTAAGCAGCAATTAGTGGTTGACCAAGATGTAAAAAAGTGCTTCAAAGTGTATTTTTCTTAAATCTCAAAAGCGTTTTTCAAAAAAGTACTTATCTATCTTCTGCTTCTCTAGAACTGTTTTTGCTTCTACTCAAAAGCACGTTCAACTTCAACTGTGAAAAAGCACTTTTTGAAGGGGGGAAAAAGTATTTTTGGCCTTGAAAAAGTTTGGTCAAACAAGCTGTTAATCGGTCTTGAGTTTGACTCGTGAGATTAAGAGCCCGTTTGGTCATGAAAACTTTTTCACTTTTTTTTTTGAAAAAATTACTTTTATTGAAATCAGTGGTTGGCCATAAAGTTTTCAATTTCACTTGAAGAAGAAATTTGAAATTTTTCGAAAATTTGGAAAACTCTAAAAAGCTATTTTTTAAAATTTTCACTCAAATCACTCACAAAAATTTTAAAAACAACCCAAAATTATATTCATGTCCAAGCACCATTTTTACTTGAAACAAAATTTCACTTTTTTCCAGAATTTTACAATTCTTATGTCCAAACAGCCACTAAAATTTTTCTTGTAGGGAACATTTTTCCCTTTAAAGAGCTTATATAATGCATCAAAATTAGTCGAGCTTTCAAAGCAAATACGGGATTTGAGTGAGTACAAGATTTGTCCCAAAAAAAAAAAAAAAAAAATACAAGTAAAAGAAAAGTGTGAGGGTCACAAGGGTAGTTTAGGTTGGTGTGCAGACTTCTTCAACAACGTGAAATCGATCGTCTCAATAACTCATGACACACTGCTTTCAATGTGCTCTTTCTATAGATCTGAAAACATTGAACAGACACAGTACACAGTCACTCTTCTCTCTCTCTCTCTCTCTCTCTCTCTCTTTTAGATTAGATAACCTGTCCTTAAAATAATTTTTGCGTTCAAAGCTGCTGACCTCCACTTTCTCTTCTGACACCACCCACTACTGTCATTGTCCTCTGGAGCCTACAGAACCAAGAGAAATTAGACCCCAAAATAAGATAAGTAAAGATAATACTCTTCATTAAACTAAAGAAGAAGAAAGGGGATTAATTTAAGTTATACATATAGAGGATTAATCGAGTTTAAGTTAATGCATAACGGTGTAATAATTTTACACAAGCGCATCACTTAAAGATAATTGTAGGAAACTCAATTAAATAGGAGTACTATTAATTAGTAACATAAAATAAATGCTAAGTAATATAATCTACTTTAATAAGTTCAATTATACTCCCTTCATTCCAAAAATATTAGCAAATATTACTTTATCTTATTAGGCTTCTCATAAATAGTTACCTATCAACTAAGACAATTTAATTTGATAGTGTAAGACATTTATGTAAGTCAATGATGAATTTATTAGACTCAAGAAGGAAATAAAGACCAAGCCTCTTTTGGCCCCAAAAAAATACCAGAAAGAACTGCTCCATAATGCAAATATATCCATCATATTCAAAGCTAGCGTGTATCTTTGCTTCATTCGCTACTTTTCCTCCTACTTAAAGAACCTGAGAATAGCATATATATTTCTTTGAGTTGTCCGTCAATATTTTCATTTACTAAATTCTATGGGAAATAAGAAAGAAAGATCTTCTTCTTCTTGGTTGACTGCTGTTAAAAGAGCTTTTAGATCTCCTACTAAAGACCCTGAAAAGAAGAAACAAAATAAAAGAAGAGATGATAATAATCAACCTATGGAAGTTGACGAAGATGAAGAAGAAAAGGCACTACCCCACTTCTCTTTCTTCTTATTTTGTTTAGTAATCAACATTAGATCCATCTTTTACGTTGCACGATAAGGTTGCGTACAGTAAACTCTTATAGTACTGCCCTTCAATGTATCTCGCACATAGTTGGAGCTTAATGCAGCGGCTGTCCTTTAGATCCATCTTTTACTATAGTAGCTAACTTTCTTGTTTTTGAATTCATGCAGAAGAAGGAAAAGAGAAGATGGCTTTTCAGGAAGTCAACTAATCTTGAAAATGGGACAACACATCAGACTACGATTACATCGGAGAATGATGATGTGTCCGCTCCTGCAGCTGAAGGAGCGGACCAAAGGCATGCCATTGCAGTGGCTGTGGCAACTGCAGCCGCAGCTCAGGCTGCAGTTGCCACAGCTCAGGCAGCTGCAGAAATAGCTCGACTGGCCAAACCGCATATTTCTAGATTCTATAGTTCTCCTATTTATGCTGGGGATAGAGAGCATCAGTCTGCAATTATAATTCAGACAGCTTTTAGGGGATATCTGGTATGTGATGAGTTCTGATACTATCTTTAATTTGCTCTTGAGTTGTTGTTTGCCTTGTAGATGTATCAACAGATATACAATATTCAATCCAAAAATTCTAGGTGATTTTTTATATTTGTTTAAACTTAGGTAGACAGAATTACCCGATACCTTTGTATTGGCGAAAGGTAGTAGGTACTCGATAAAATAGTCTACTTATGGAGCTGTGGTAGAAATAGGCTGGACACCACCTTTGTCAAAGAAGATTTATTGAATCATATCAAGAATGCTATCTGGATTTTGATTTCCTCCCACCTTAAAGAATGAAAACATTTCTTAGAAATGAAGCTCAATTTAAAAAGGGGTTGTTACATAAATAGCCGGCCAAATTCACTATTTACCTTTTCTAACCGGAATACATAGATTATACATAGTTATACACATATTACACATGAATTATACATATATTATACATCCTTGAGCTATGCTTAATTTAAGAAATTAGGTGGGCGACTATTTGGGTTAATTCTACATTTAAAACTGGAATTTGAGCATCTTAATTACAAAATGAGCAAAAGAAGAATGGTTCTTTGACATTAATTATGATTATCCAATATAGGAAATTATCTATTTGTCAAGACATGTAAACTTGAGAAACTTGGGTGATTGAATGAATTGCTTATGTTGTGATTGTAAGGCAAGAAGGGCTCTAAAAGCACTAAAAGGTCTAGTGAAATTGCAAGCTTTAGTGAGAGGTCACAATGTTCGGAAACAAGCGAAGATGACTCTCAGATGTATGCAAGCTCTGGTTCGAGTTCAAGCGCGAGTACTTGACCAGCGGTTTAGGCAATCTCAAGAAGGAAGTAGAAAATCAACATTTAGTGACACCAGTAGCATGTGGAATTCACAGTATCTTCAAGATATCATAGATAGAAAATCAATGGTAAGTCAATATCTTGATGTATTGTTAATTTTTTATTACCTCTGGTACTGCTAGGAGTTTCTTTCCAAGACTATTATTTTGATGCAGGTTGAATTTGGTTTTGTTTTCGAAATAAATTTAGAGAATAATCTTGGAGGTAAATTTTGTTTTGAGTTTGATGTTCTCTCTGAATAAGGGAGAATTGGATTTTGAAATTGATTTTGGAAAGGAAAAAGATTCTTCATGGTTTTAACAATGTAGTTTCACCTTGTTTCTGTCCAATTCTTGGTTTTCGTTTCTGAAAAAGTTTGTCGAGAAATTTTTAGAAGGCAAGCCTTAGAGCAATGGTAAAGCTGCCTCCGTGTGACCTATAGGTCGAAGCAGCCATTAATGCTGGCATTAGGGTAGGCTGTCTACATTACACCCCTTGTGATGTGGGCCTTCCCCAGACCTTGTGTGAACGCGGGTGCCTTGTGCGTAGAAATTTTTAAATCAAAGTCTGTTTTTGGTGGTATTTGAACTTGATTTTGGGAATGGTTTTGTAAGAAAATGTGCATCAAAGATACTTTCCAAAACCAACTGATTTCGGATGGCATGTTGGTTTTGTGATTGGTTTTTAACACCAAACATGCATTGTTCTAGGCCTAAGAGATTGATTTTAGTACCAAATAGGCCGTGATAGTAGATATTTTCGTCTAACTCATCGGCATAATTTGTGTATGCCAGTCAAGAGAGGGAAGCAGCATTCCAGATGATTGGGATGAAAGGCCTCACACAATTGAAGAGGTAAAAGCAATGTTACAAAAGAGAAAAGAAGCTGCTTTGAAACGCGAAAGGACCTTATCCGACGCCTTCTCTCAACAGGTTTTCTATATCCATGTTGGTTATTTTCATGTTTCCAAAACTTTCTTGGTGTAAGCTTGTTTTGCCAATCCTTTCTATTTTTTGCATGACAGACACGGAGAGCAGGAAGAAATTCCTCGATAGGAAGTGAAAGTGATTTTGGAGAAAAGCATCAGTGGATGGACCGGTGGATGGCTGCGAAATCATGGGACAACAGCAGGGGAAGAGCATCAACTGATCAAAGTATTGACCCTGTTAAAACTGTTGAAATGGATACGTCGCAACCTTATTCATATTTAGCTCCTAATTTAAGAAGATTGGATGAACGACAACAACATCAACAACACCAACGACCAAGTTCACCCCTTCATAGATCCTACCAAAATCAATCTTTTCAATTCCCAGTTACACCTTCTCCATCCAAAACTAGACCTATTCAAGTCCGTTCTGCAAGTCCTCGATGTCCAAGAGATGATAGAAGTAGTAACGGAGCTCAAACTCCAAGCCTGAGGCCTAATAGTAACTACTCAGTCAATGGTAGCTCACACCAACGTAATAGACTAACTCCCGGTGCTGCACCAATTCCTAACTACATGGCTGCTACCGAGTCTGCCTTGGCAAGAATCCGTTCACAAAGCGCCCCACGACAGAGGCCTTCAACCCCGGAGAGGGATCGAACAGGGTCAGCCAAAAAACGGCTTTCTTTCCCTATCCCTGACCGTTATGGCAATGTTCCTATAGGTTATGGAGCAGGTTATGAACATAGTCTGAGGAGTCCAAGCTTTAAGAGCCTTAATGGAGTACATTTCGTATATGAACAACAATCTAACTATTCTTCTTGTTGCACGGAGAGTCTTGGTGGCGAGATCTCTCCTTCATCAACGAGCGATTTGAGGAGGTATTTGAGGTGACCAAAGGGCAATAATAAGGCGATCAATGTACATGTTAATGCAACTTATCATCCTGAAGCATAGTTGGACTATTAGAAACCCCTTTTCTTGTTTCTTTTGTTATATTTAGCTTTGTTTGGAGTCTCATTTCTTTTAACCATTGCACCTTTCTTGTTCTGAAGGGAGCCTTGTCCGTGTGACCTATAGGTCACGGGTTCGAGCCGTGGAATCAGCCAGCATTAGGGTAGGCTGCATACATTACACCCCTTGGGGTGCGGCCCTTCCCCGGACCATGCGTGAATGCATCCACCGGGCTGCTACCTTTCTTTGTTCTGACTTCTAATGTACTTGAACCCATTGATGTGCTAGTCAAGCATAGTGTAACTAGTCTTTTGAAGCATTTGTTTAGTGAAGTAGCATTTATCTTACTGTTAGGAATAATATTGATGTGATCACTACTTACATGTGTTTTTTTCATACTTGTAATATCTCACAAGTGCAAAAAACTACATTGATTTTCAGTTGAACTTAAGAATAGTTATAGTCTTTTTCTGTTGTCGGCACATCCACCTATTCATTTCTGCTTTCCCTCTATTAAATAAATATATGCACAGGTTCATTTCCTCTTGAAATATCTTCAAATTGAGTGCTGTAGAGCATAGCCCCACCTATTTAACAATGAATTATAGAGGGGAAAGTGGAGGACCCCCACCCTATAATAACACCAGTTTGGGGGCCCTGTCTCTATTATTTCTCGGCAAGAAAGATTTGACTTGCCATGATTATAACTCCGTCTTGTACATTTTAAGTATGTATTTAAGTAAGGGTTTGGACATAAAAATTATGATTCTTGAAACAAACAAAAAAACAAAAAAAAAAAACAAAAAAAAAGGGTAGGTATTGGAGTTAAAGTTGAAAAATAAAGTATTTGAAATTTGAAATTTTGTTTAGACATGTGTTTACCTCGAAAATACTGATTTATGGTTTTAAAGATATGTGATTTAGTTCAATACTAACTAATAACCAAGAAAACTAACGTATAAATGAAGGAAATAACTAAAATCAAACCAGTGTGCAAGACAGTCTCGACCTCGAGCTAAGGTGGCCTCGAGGTTGGTTAATAATAGTAAAGCAAGAACAATCAAGTAAAAAGACGATTCTGATGAAATATGAGCCAAAAAGTAAGAGAGTATATTCTTTGCCAATGATTGATGATGTTTACAAATGATTGGGGTCCCCTTTATATAATGGGGGTACCCTAAATAAAGTACATTTCTATTTACAGTAGAGAATCTTATTGGGACAGTTGTCTAACCGCCTAGTACGGATTCGTACAAATCTATCCCGGAATTTACGCCATGATCTTGGGGACGTGGCAAGAACCTTGCTCATTCTGTTACAAACTTATAACGGCATCATCTCGGGGTTGATCACACTGGTCCTCAACGTTCCTCGAACACTTAAATCTTTGAGCCTCGTGTTTTGCCTTCGGACTCGAACTCGGTCCATAGTGAGTCTATTCCTCGACGCGAATCTTCTGTTCTTCATGGTGGGCCTTCGGGCTCGCAAAATCGGGGGCACATGATTTTACCGTATACAACATGTATTTTACGTTTAAAAAAATTGTTGCAGTTTTGTGAGGGAAGATGAAATTTTACCTGAAAATTCATCTTCAAAATATATTTAAAAAATTCAGTGCAATGTATAACCAAATATAGTTTTTATACTATCATTGTCATCTGTTGTTCAATCGATGATAGCAATTTAGTTATTATTTTTTCTTGGTTATCAATTGATGCTTATAAATATTTGCATACAATTAATCTATAGGTAATGTGATTAATTAAATATATTTTGCATGCATCAAACTTAAACTCCTTAGGTATATAGATCATTAATCAAATTTAACAGAAAATGTTCTCTTCATCTTTAAAGTAATTCTCCAGTTATTGCATTGTTGGTTATGGTCACAACTCCATAATAATAGTCGTCATAACTTCAATGATGGTCGGCATAGCAATCTTTATAATCAAGACTAAAATTCATTTTGTCGCAGACCTAAAATAAGTAACTAAGTTATCCTTTCTGGAAGAAGTTTAAGCTTTTAGATTAGACAATTCAGTCCAATCAACATGGGTATATTGGTATTAGATTAGTTAGAGATCCTGAATTTGAGTTTTATCACACTACAGGAAAAGAGGTCTCTAACGACCACTTCTTTACGAAAGGAAATTAATCCAGTCGTTATATGGATGCATATAGCGGCCAATATTTATTCCGGTTGTTAAAGTCATTTTTTACTATATTTTTTACGAGGGAATAATTTCTTGTCTTTCAAATATATGTAATCCCCTCGTTATAAATCTGAATAAAATATAAAAATTTATGCGGTAACTATTTCCCTCCTTTATTTCCTCAACAACTCCCGCCCATATCCCCCAAATTAATCAAAAAACCCCTAAAATCTCTCAATCCTAATGTTATCCAAAAACGCGCGTACACCAGATTCAGCAAAGAGGAAAAAGAATCACGAACAAATAGGCCGTCGCTGCAACTGCCCGCAACTCCATCGGCGAGTTCTAGCGATCGATTATATATACAGAGCAAAACTCAACTAAAAATCACAAAACGATTTGGTCTTCTTGTTGTACGCAACTTATAATCTGTGTGCTTTGTGGTGAATCTGTGTCAACGCTAATAGCTGGGTGTCAACGCTAATAGGTGGGTGTTAACGCTAATAGCTGGGTGTCAACGCTAATAGCAATTGGTTCTGTTACTTGCTGTGGGTTCTGTCGACAACGCAAGCAACTTAATTATACGATTTGGTCTTCTTGATGTGCTTTCTCGTCAAGGTAAACTCAAGTCACTAAATTTGTAGTTGTAATTATTGTGAAATTGGGCTTTTTGTTATCTCTCTGCTTTTCAAATCGACGCCTTCCAGATTTATATGATAATTGTTCTGTTTCCAGTATGTTTCTTGCAATTTTTCAATGTACAGAACCAACTGCTTTCCATCAAAGTTGTTGTTTTCCTCATATTCTGCTTCCTCTGCCATTTTATGCTTTTTATTATAATGCACGATAGGTAAAATTTTCGAATTCTTAATCTGTTATAGTTTGCGAGAGAGGTCCTATACGCGTTGCAGCTAGAAATTCTTATAAGGGGATTCAGAATTTACACATAATTCAATCTTTTATATATGTAAAAAAAAATTGTCTCCTATTTGCACATTATAATTTTTCGGCGTAGCGAATTCAATTGAATTATTTGATTACATGTGACTCTGCATTGCCTGTATGAAAAAAAGAGTAAAATCATATTTGTTTCAGAAGGTGTTCTTTGCCCAATGTTGGAATCGAATATTTTGCCATTCTTCTTCAGCTTGCCTATATAGCATACACCAACCTATTTAGTGGCAGAAAATTATAATTAATAATAAGTGTGCTCCGTACAAGTTCATCAAAGAGAACTCAAAGATTGAGAAACTTGAATCCTAATTGACTTAATTGTGACTACCAAGATTTCATTACTTTCCATGGCAGAGTGAGAGAACAATTTACCACATAGAGTCCAAAAAAAGAAAACTATACCTTAGTTCCTGGGAAAGTTCTTTTCCCATCCGGCTTGCCCATTGCCAACTCCTCTATGATCAATCCATTTCCATAGGTCCTAAATTGAGAAGACTTAGCCGCTTCATTTTCCTCCACCTCGTGTGATATTCTTTTTTATTTTGTTCAACCTCTGTAACTGCTTTTCCATCATGTTGATTTTTCTTGTTCTTTTTGCTTTTTCTTCTTTTTCTCAATATCCCTGGAAGTTTTAGTGGAAAAATAAGACTTCTTACTAGTAAAAGCAATAGAGTTTGATAAAAGATAACAAACATAGCACATGGAACTGGCCAGGATCTAGAAGAACATGTAATTGGATAAAACTTAAAGCTAGATGGCGCCTTTAGTTATGCAAATAACAATTCAAATTCCTCATGAAGCATATCAGCCATTAACTTTATTCTTTTCTATTCTAGACTACACTAGATCAGAACTTACTTTTCGTCAATTGACCTCTGAACATCTTTAGTTTTACCTACTGAAAGTGGCTCATCATTAGCCTCTGCATGCTCTGAATTGTTGTTTGATCCATTTTCATGAGCCATGAATCAACGCCAAAATCATAGTGCATATTGCTCCCAAGTAGTGTCACTTCCACTAATTACTTGCTTTTTTTTTACTCCATATAGACCAATCCAACATTCAGATAAGTTATAAAATGAGATTGTCATCATTGAACGTAGTAATTCTAAGAATGGAGGAGGAGAAGAGACTCTGAGCCTGTCAATATATTTTATTTCCTTACTATATAGAGTTTAAAATTACTTTTTATATGACTTACCATCACTAATCACAATAAATAAGTAGTAACTATATATCCTTCAAGATTGCTTGAATCAATGTTACCCACGCAGTTCTGTTACTATTTTCGTTTTCAATGCTCATATACGTTGCACATGAAAAGAAGTTTAGTAGCTTATAAATTTATTATGGTAGCATTTCATTATAAAGTATACAATATTTTTGATTGAGGATAAAATGGGTATTCAATTTTTATGGGCATTTTGGTAAATCAAGTTTGACGTTAGGAGCTTCATACTTTTAGTATAACTAGTTTTAGGATACGTGCGTTGCGCGTGAATCCTATCTAAATGAAAATAAATTATTTGAAAAAGTTCATAAATATTATATGAAAAATTGTGTTTGACTAAGAAATAAAAGTTAAGGAGAAAATGTAAACTCCTGAAAATGACAAATGTCGATCCTATTTAACTAACTCAATAAAGAAAGAAACTTTACCTTTTAACTAACTCAATAAAGAAAGAAACTTTAATGCAAATGCATTGTACCAGCTGTAGCACCTTGTGATCCACCGCAACTGCTCTGTAAAATATATCTTTATACCAGCAGTTGTGTGCATGAGTGAGTTTGCATAGTTTGCTGCAGATCTCTTATGAGTTCGAGCAAAATTCTGAGACCAAATTTGTTCGGTAGCCTTCCTGGTATATTGGGGTAATGAAGTGCACTAAGATTTTAGTCCAGAATGCACTCACCGATCCCATTTTTGAACACCAAAATCCCATGTCATAGCTGATCATTCAGCACCTGGCAGTAGTTGTTCCTGTTGAGTAATTCTTCTGGTGTGAGAGTTGAGCTGCATTTTATTGACACAATGGTATGTTGCCCCTGTTGTCTTATTGACACAAAGGTATGATGCCCCTAAGTGCAGATGTTTCTCCCTTAGAAAGTCCCAAATGGTTCCTACTAAATTATCGAGACAATACAATTTCTGAACTTGTGGACATGAGAAAATGCTAGGATATAAGCATACAATATTCCAAATCAAACAAGTTTGGGCAGGCATGAAGAGAATCTTTACTCACCATTGTTCCTTTGACCTGAGTGGTAATGTGACCCCTTTCAGAGTCACCTAGAAGCTTGGACAAACCAAAATCAGCAACTTTTGCGTTTAGGCGTTCATCCAGCAAGATGTTGTTGGACTTGATGTCTCTGTGTATGATAGGAGGATTAATAAGGTCATGAAGATACTGCAAACCTCGGGCTGCTCCAAGGGCTATCTTCAGTCTCCTCATCCAATCTAACCTGATCCCAGTATTGCCTACAAGTACAAATCTAATTACATTTTCCATAGGCACATTCCCCTTTTGGCAAAGTTATAATGATCCAGTTTTAAGGAATCAATAAGAAGGAAAAATCTAAGGTGTTAGTCAAGGAGCATGTTTCTTATTCTTTTGATAGAACTCTATAGGAAGCAAAACTGTTGGAGATTTTAGTGTTCCTTGCCCTAATTACATGTTCCAGATCTCATGGAAAATGGTTCAGCACTTCCACTCCTAATTTTAAATATTGGTTTCTTGTTAATGACACCATCTATAGTATTTTGCAACAACTAATCGTAATAACTTCTTGGACTTCCCCGAATGTAGGTAACAGGTAATACAGCAAGCACCTCTATAGTCTTCTCACATAATGGTGTTAGTGAATTATTACAGATATTGTAATGTTTTGTTGTAAAGTTGCAGCCTTTAGTGTAAGTTTTTTGTGTATCTCTTAGTCTGTAAGGTCACATTCAATGTCAAAACTTCTACTTGATTACATTTGTTAAGTGACTAACATGAAGGCTCTCCATAGTTTTGTCAATGTGTACCTAGCACAGTGACACCTGCTTCTACATTACCCTTCTGCACGGGGTATTTGGGTGTGGAGGGGAATTAGTTTGATTCTCTGCATAGGATTTGATTATAAGTTACTACTTCAAATAATGTTATTACTTATGAGGGTTAGGCTAAAAAGGGAAGAGAATGTTACATTTGATTACTTGGCACATATTTGTTATTCCTTCTTGAAATCCAAAAATTTGCATACTGGAAGCTGGGTTTATAGCACTGTAAAGTACTAGAGCTTATTGGTTGTTGACTTTTCTGTTGCCTCTTATAGAACGTTTGATCACAATAAGTCATTTTTTGTATATATTATTGGCGTGTCGTTTCTAAGGCATGTTGCTGCTCTGAAGTTTCTAAGCTCTACGTAATTTATAAAATGCTTTACTTATGAATCTTTGTGAATGCTGAAGATCCTAGGTCTTAAGCAATGTAACTGAAAACAGACACATTTTGTTTGAAACAGGAAAAACTATCTTTAGTTTACATGAAATTTTTTACTTTCTTGATTAATGCTTTTGCAAAATATTTAGGACAAATTTGACAGTGATGACATGAATCATCAAAGAGATAATGTGTTAAATCATATGAGAAAGTTATGGACCAATTGGATAGGATCATTGCACAAGTATGTGAAGTCTAAGCCATTGCATGAAGCACTAAAAGTCCCGGAGGAGATAGACAAGAGTGATTGGGAATGGTTGGTCAAGGAACATTTTTTAAGTGAAAAATTTAAGGTAAGACTTCATAACTACTTTTATCTTCTTATTATTGTAAGTAACACTTCATGATTTTAATGGTTTGTTCTTAATATAGGAAACAAGTATTAGAAACTCGATCAATAGGTCTAAGTTGAGAATGCCTCATCGTACGGGTAGCAAGCCGATTAGAGAAATTATTTACGAACTGGTAAGTGCACAGTGCAATCCTTAAAAAAAATCTCGTGTTTGTTTGACTTGTTTGTTTAAATGTGAAGGGAGGCAAAGACGGTAATCCACCGAACATGGCGACTATCTTCTTTGAGACTCACAAGAAAAATGACACGCTTGTAGAACCTGAAGCTGGTGAAAAATATGTATGCTTATTGATGAACTTCATTTTACATCCTTCATTTTATTTTGATGTATTTTATTATTTTAATTTTTCTTGTATTTTATAGGCTGAGATACAAGAACTGGTACAATCTGAGCCATCTCTTACGAATATCGAGGTAATAGAAAGATGCTTCGAACCTCAAAACAAGAGTCACGTGGTTGGATTAGGGGGTGGTATAACCACTAAGGAGTTGAAAGGTGGTAGCTCCTCAAAGGCTGCAATACTGGCTGAGCTGAATGCAATTCGAAAAGAAAAAGAATCACTACAGACCGAGCTGAATGCAACTAAAAAGCAAAAGAATCACTAGAAATACGTATGGACGACATAGATGCTAAGTATGAACATATTATCAGCTTATTGGGTGATCAGCCTTCATCAGCACCATCTTCAAGTCAACAAAGTACAAGCTGAAATTGTGTTTAACAGGTTCATAAGCTTTCTACCAACTATGACCTGAAGAATATCCTTAAATAAATTTAGTGAAGTCTTTTGTTGTCAGTTAAATAAAGTACTGACCTTGACATATGTACATTACTCTAATATTGAAATCCAATTAGATATGTGCATCTCAGATTCATTGTTTGAACGTATAACATTATTTGAGATTTGAGGTCCAGATCTGTTTTCCGTTGCTTGCACAGATAGCCAAATCCTTTTTGCAAAATATTGATCAATGTGCAGGTTAGTGACAATGAAATAGTTAAACATCTGGGTGGCACTGATGTGCAGGGTGCAAATGTACTTAGAAATTAAAGTTTTTCTGAGAAACTACACCAGAAAATAGGCAATAACAAGAAAACAACGAGGAAAAGTACGAAACGCTCTTTGCGGAGAGCAGTGTTAGAAAAAGCGGTCGCTTCCTCGCTTAAAGCGAGAAGCGAAGCGAAGCGACCCCTTCCTCGCTTCTGCCATGTGAAGCGACTCAGGTAGGAAAAAGCGACGGCTTCCCACTAAAAAGCGAGAAGCGACCAAGCGAAGCGAGCACTTCTTTGTTTTAAACAGCTGCCAGACTAGGGTTCTTCAACAGAGATTCCAGCAACAGGTATGTGATGATTTTCTCTTCTTCTTCTTCTTCCGATTTCTTCTCTTCTTCTTCTTCTGACTTCTTCTCTTCTTCTTCTTTTTCTTCTGACTTCTTCATCTTCTTCTCTTTCACTGTTTCAACGTCCAAATAGTAGCGAAATGCTAGCGAATTTTTTTTACCTTGGTTCTTTCCCAGAATCCAGCAACAGAATTTAAGCGAAATGGCCAAAAGGATTTTTTAAATTCCGCTTCACTTCAAAAAAGCGAGCGCTTCGCTTCTCGCTTCTCGCTTTAAGCGGAATGGGCTTTGTCGCTTTTTCTCGCTTCACGCTATTTTTAACACTGGCGGAGAGGGAAGGGAAGGGTGTATGAAGTTATTGAAATCAAGTGATACGTTACAGAAAGTAAAATTTAAGCCACCAACCTGACTAAAGTAGTCATCCAAAAACATTATAGCATGATCGTCCTGTCCATTACTTTATTTGAAAGTACGTATAACTCTTTCCCTCCTAAGTGACTGTGACATAGATACTCAAAACATCTCATTAGCTGTTACAGTTAGGTGCAATGCAGACAAATGAGAGACTGCAAAATGCAAAAGAATCAAACTAATTTGCGATCCATTCCTGCTGCTCCATTTTTCCTCCCAGTAGCTCTTGCATCTGTAGGAAAGAATAATTCTGCCCTACATACTGTTGAGTAAGTTTACTGTACAACAACGAACCAGTACACTATATTTGCGATCATTTTTGTGTGTCATTTCTCTGCTTCCCCTTGAAACCTTTGCTTGTATTCCATATTGGTTTGGTGTAATAGCATGTTGCATTGGTATTTATTCCACTTGTATCCAATATGCTTGAATTGTATTGCCAAAGACTGTATAGAAAGTTTTCTGCCCAGCATTGTTCAGTGGTGATGCTTAGCCAAGCAGAGCAACAGATACTGAACTAACTGTCCAAATTGAGTTCATTAAATGCTAGTGTAACTCTCCCCATACTGTGATACAAGAACTGGTACAATCTGATAAAGCTTAATATTCAGGAGTCATTTTATTGGGTTGGAGATAGGGGAAAAAACTGTTGTCATGAAAAGAGGACTCCATTTTCTTCTAATTGCATGAAAGAAACTTCCTAAAAGAACAATACCCCAACATGGCAACTCATTGGAAATGGAAGGAAGTGTAAAAGTGCTCTCTTCTTTTGTTATATTTTGATCAATACTTACTGTGTAACTTTTTTTCTACCTTTGTTTACAGAAGCCCTATTTTTCTTCATTTGCCAGACCCCTTCTGCCCTTCTTATTGTTCACTAAGTGTTCTTAAGAACAACAACAAGCTTTGATAAATCAGAAGTAATCATTACTACTACACTAAATAGAGTGGAAAAACATGCACAAGATATGGATGCGGCTCAACCACAATTTTCTGTCAAATCTATACCACGTAATTGATTTGATCCAGTAAGAATTTAAACTAGTTGTAGGTATTGATGCACTAAAGAATGGAAGGAATGCAGCTCAGTAAATGTCATAAAAAGGCACGGAACACTAATATCATAGAAGTTCAGGATCTGTGTGAAGGAAACATGTATGGACTAGGATACACTTTGAGAAGTGTATGTAGTTACTTCAAGTAATTAAGAAGATGAAGCAGCCTCACTTCAATGCCCAATGTTGGCCCTTTTAGTGATTCTGGTTGGGATCCACTTCTGTCATTGAATCAAAAGGAGAGTTTTAAAGGATCTTCAGTTGTCTGTTGTCTGCTAGTTTATTGAAATGCAGAAATGGTACCTGTATACAGGCTGCTGCTGGCAGCTCATACTACAATTTATATGTGTCTCTTGGCCTACTCTGCAGACATTCATATATACAGGAAAGAGAAGACTTCAGTTTAGAGGGTGAATGCTCATTCTCATTACATATGCATACTGATTGATAGAAAATATAATTGTAAAAAAGGTGGATTTAGTAATGTAGTTGTAAGAAGCACTAATTGTTTATAGTATTTTGAGATGCTCTTCGCTTCGTGGTTTTATATTTTACTGTGTTGTAGCAACTTATCAATCTTAAATCTTGTTTTCTTACTCAACTAATATGAACCTTTTTTAACAGATCAGATAAAGGGCCTGAAGTTTGAAGAATCTTCCATAAAGATAGTTCCGAGCAAGTTGAAGCAGCTAGAATTATTGAAGAACAAGGAAAATCTATTATGTTTTATTAGGAGTTGTAGTCGTCATCCGTACAAACTACTATTTTACTTTCTCTTTAATTTTTTGTTTTCTTTAAGGAATTGAAAACATGGATCATGCAGTTTGGATGTAATATTAGTGCTACTTTGATTAGTTCTCTATCTATAATTAAAAAAGATGTTTTATGTCAATATTGACTTCATTCTTTGTATGATTTCGAATGCGTTTAATATATTTATTACTTAAAAGCTCACATTCGCAAAGGGAAATTTTGGTTTTTATAAAGTATGTCGTTAAAAGTACATACAATTAACGAATGGAATTCCGGTCGCCATACACTAACAACGACTGAAAATTAGTTACCGTTGGTGAAGGTTTTAACGACTGGGACGACATATAACGATGGGAAAATCCCCTCGCTAATCTTGGTATAACGACTGGATTCCTTGCCATCGTTAAAAGAGTTTTTACGACGGGATCAAAATCCGGTCGTTTACCTTTAACGACGGAGGCACTAACGACCGACGACGACCGGTTTTTATCCCATCGTAATTGACTTATGACGACCGGATTTGGAGTTTTAATGACCAAATTTCCCATCGCTAAAGACCTATTTTCCTGTAGTGTCACCACTAATCAACAAGATTTATTTTTACATACTTTCTCAATAAACTAATTATGTTCGGACTTGCAGGTGTATGTTATGTTGCACATCTAAAATAAGTAAATAAAAGTGTCTCATCTTTAGAATTTCAAGGTACGTATTAGATGAGGTGGTACATAATTGGGAATCTTACGGAAATGTCACAAATTAGTCCTAATTATCGACTTCTAGCTATTAATCATAGACTTATCAAAATTAGCTAAGCACATATAAAAATTTAAAACCTCTCCTTCCATATTTTTAAGCGTGATCATCAATATTAGATGCAAGAGGAAAAAATACAAAAATCTAAGCAAAGAAGGACTATTCTCAATGGGTATGGTTGAAATTCATTGAAAACGCATGGATGCGTCAATATACAACATTTGAGGAAGATTGGAGTTGATTTGAACTGATTTAGTATCAAAGTTCTTAGTTAAAATCGAGTTCAAAAATCTTCTGCGACACGTGTATTAAACATGTATCGCACATATGTCTCACACACAGGTATATATGGATATGCATGTGATACAAAATTGATGCAAATATGATACATTGTGATGCATAAATGATACACATATCATCTTTTTTCATGTTATCTTCTATTTCGAAATTTTAATTCAAACCACCTCAAAACTCTACCAAATCATCCCAAAAACTGAGATTTATGCTCTTTAAGATATATCCAATCTATTCCAACAACACCCCACTCAAAACAAAGCAAAAATTTGATATTTTGTTGCTACAAATAGCTAATTAGCTAATATTGGTAATATTTGATAAATTGACTAGTTTTTGTACTACTTATGGACTCAGATAACTGGTAATTTCCCTGCACAATTCTAACATATTTTATATCCAATCCTTTGAAATTTGATATGCCAAGTCCTTATAGGTTATCTATCTCGGTTCCTTCCCCCTTCCCTTCCTTTCTCTACAAATCTTTTGCCCTTCTCCTTCTCTGATGGGTTTTCAATGTCTTAGCTTTATGTTTTATGATCTAACAAACTTAATGTCAAAGAACCAGATGGGGAACCTGACATACTTGGTACACATTGATAATCAACAGACTCCAGCTAATGTGAACTGCTGCAACTTTAGAAGATAGAGAACCAACACAGGGACCTGATCCCTTGTGTTTCCCTGACAGCAGTACGGAAGTCAACAATGTACAGCTAGAAAGTGATTGCCACAGAAACAATGCACACAGTGCAGCACAGTTCTGCAGTCACTTGTCCCTTTGACCAACCAAGTGCTTACATCACTCAAGTGCTGTCGTCCAAGTTGTATTTACAAGAGCATTACAACAAAACATCACTTGAACACTTGACAATTCACTAAAAGCATTGAAGCCATTTGATATTCGACCATTCAATTCTCAAGTGCATCAAGAACAAAGTTTAACACTGCTACGGACCAGTTCCTAAATCTAGTATCTTATTGTCCTTAGTTGAGTTGTAACTTTGTAATTGTTCTTCATTGTAACTCCTAATTTGCTTAGCTAGAAGCATTGCTTAGGAACCCCTTTGTAAAACCATAAACGCTTTGTGTTTGTATCGTGACTAGAGTTAGTCATGAGTTGAAGTCTTTGTAATAGGTGTATTGCAAAGTGGCTTGTAATAGTGTCACGACCCTAAACTCAGACCCGGTCGTGATGGCGCCTCTCGTGAAGACAAGTCCAGCCAACACATTTCCAATTCGAAGTTAAACAGCTAAACAATAAGCATTACGTCTAAAGCATGATATAATCTCAGAAGTAACAATGATAACACAAAACAATTCGCGGAATACAACCCAACACAGCCCAAACCGGGGTGTCACTAGTCATGAGCATCTACTAAGTCTAAATACAACTGACAAAGTCTGGAATGTACTAAGTACAGACTAATAAAATAAGGAGGGAGAAAAGCAGTGCTGCGAACGCCGGCAGCTACCTTGCTAAACTCCGATAACTCTGCCTCCGATCAGCCAAAATCCGCTACCGGGTGTAGAATACTTGAATCTGCACACATAGTGCAGGGAGTAAAGTGAGTACTCTAACTCAGTGAGTAATAATCATAAATAAAGACTGAGAGATAAGAAATCTCGAAAAGAGCATCAACATGTTGTATAGAAGCAGTTTCAAAACAAGTAAGAAAGCAATGAAGCTGTAAAATCCCTTAAAACATCTTAGCTCAGTTTAAAAACTCCTTGAAAATGACTTTTTCAACAGTTACGCAAATGAATGCTGAACAACTAGTGCAGATAAGCACAAAAATCCGCCCCTCGGGCATAACTACACAATTAAGCAAGTAAATGATAGGCAAATAAGAAAGATAAACACATAAGGTTCGCCCCTCGGGCACAATATCAACATCTCCGCCCCTCGGGCAATATCTCAGAACGGTACCAGCCCCTCGGGCAATCACATAGAATAAAACCAGCCCCTCGGGCTACATCTCACATCACACTGGGTACCCGCGCTCACTGGGGGTGTGCAGACTCCTGGAGGGGCCCCTTACGGCCCAAGCGCAATAACAAGCCATCTCGTGGCATCATAAACAGGCTCTCGGCCTCACATCAATATCAAGCCACCTCGTGGCGTACAATCTCAGGCCCTCGGCCTCATAATCAAATCAGTGTATCACCGCTGCGGCGTGCAGCCCGATCCCAAAGATATGTATCATCGCTGCGGCGTGCAGCCCGATCCCAAAGATATCCTCACAACACAGGCCCTCGGCCTTACTCAGTCAAAAATCACATAAGCCTCTCGGGCAACAGTAAAACGGTATTTCTCAGCCCAAAACATCATTTAAATATCATTTGAGTATTAAAATAGAGTAAACATGGCTGAGTTTTGAAAACAGTGGAAATAACATGACTGAGTTCAA